CCCCCCCCCCCATCCGCGGAGGGGGGGTTAAGGGGGGCTGGGAGAGAGCACCCCCCTGAAATGATGGCAGATAACACAGGAAGCAATAGCTTCTTTGCTATCTGCCATCAGAATAATTTAAAAAAAAAACAGCAAGCTGGCCATTGTATCTGCCCTCTGCTGCTGTCAATCACTAGAAGAGGACCTGATGGAGAACTTCAGGTCCCCCTCTGCTGATTGACAGCAGCAGTGGGCAGGTGTTTGCAAAGTGAAATAGCCAATATAATATAGCTATGCATTCCTATGCTGGGTTTTTTTTTAATCTGAGTGACGACATCGGGCGTCACTCAGATAAGGAATAAAAAAACAGGAATGTCAGGAATAAAAAAACAGAGCAGGGAAAGGTTTAATCTGCTTGATTGAGCAGAGTAAACCTTTCCGGGAGAAAGTGTTTCTCTCCTGGGCGGCCGGGAGCCGCTATCTATTAGCGAGAGACTCCCGGAGCGGGAGAGTTGGGATGTCTGCACAAGGGTGACACCACATTCTCTGTAAGAGCTAAGGAAAACAAAGGTGTCACCTTCTGCCCACAGCCTGCTGATTGGATAATGGAGATCCAACAAAACACTCATAAGTCATCAACTCTTCTTACTCTGCTTTCTCCTCCTGTCAGAATAGTCTCTTTCAGCACATGTGCATGCAGCAGAGCCAGACTGGCTCATTGGGCTGCCCCTCCCTCTCTCATTCTAAGTGCTGCTGTAAAGGAGGTTTACATTAAGACAGACTGGTACTTATGATAATATATAAAAATATTATTTTAAAGGAATATACATGTCTGGGAAGCGTAGGCACTGTGGACACTGGCTCCATGGTTTACGGAGCAGCCAGGGACTGACAGAGATAGAATAATGCCTGGGACACTGGTCACAGGGAGTGTAAGGACTGAGTGACTGTATTTTAGCAGGGGTGTAACAGAGGCACAGAGTCTAAGGAGAGCCAGGTCTTCTCCAGAGCTCCCAATGGTGGTGTTGATGTAACACTATAAGACAGCTCCCAGGTTTGGCCCTCTACCACACCCATGCAGACACAGCTGAGAGAACCACAGAGGAAACAAAGACACACTACAGCAATTTGATGGATTCAGCGGCAGGTAGGGAAGGAGTCTGTAACAACGAGATGCAGGATTGTTGCAATAACACATAAGGAAAGTCCAATACAACACAATGGTACATGACACAATGATACAGGATATACTGGGGAGGTGCAATGCTGGGATTCCAGGTTCAGTGACACACAGGAGAAGGTCACTGGTTCCACTAGTTTAGGCTTCACAGAAGGATGCACACAGGGAAAGTTTATTGCACTGTGGTTCAGGATACACAGGAGGATGTACACAAAGAAAGTGCATAGCACTGTGGTTCAGAAGTCACAGGGAAATAGGGACACTCGGGATTCACAAGAACACAAGGAAATTTATTTTTCAGCACTGCAGCATGATTGACATCACAAGCTGATACATGGATGCAGGTAGAAAGCAGACATCCCGACCTGCAAAACCTTCTTTCAGGGAGGTGCCCGTCTCATTTCAGGGAGTTTTTTGTGTTTTTTTTACAGCGGCCACCGTCAGAATATAAAATAAATAATAATGATAATAATTTATATATACATCAGATTTGTGAATTGATATTCAAGTATCTGTCAGTGTAAAGGTCACAATTTATTAGACAGCCCAAGACCCACAGTTGACTAGTTGCTATGGGCAACAAATTAAATAAATGTTCTCTATAACTAGACAACCATATATAATTGATTCTATATTATCCACAAAAGGTTAACAGCACTCTCTCAACCCTGCAGCAGTAGATCTCAGTGCCTGTACCTGCTCTCAAGTAGCAAGTAGCTTCTTCCTTCTGAGAGCCAAGCCTCGTTCTGAGGCTACTCTAGAGATCACATGACCTTCCTCCAGGAGGCAAGCCTCGTTCTGAGGCTACTCTAGAGATCACATGATCTTCCTCCAGGAGGCAAGCCTCACTCTGAAACTTTACCCAGTGATATCTTACCAGAAAGGTTTACTCAGAGTAAAGCTTTCAGGGAGAAAATGCCTCTCTCGCGGACATCAGGGAGCCGCTATCTATTAGAGGGAGACTCCCTGAACGTCAGGGAGACTTGAGATCCCTGAGAAAGGGAAAAGCAGATATACAGGAGTTGAAGTGTGGGATCGCTGAAGCAGTGCAGGGGTGCAAACAAACTCAGGTGAATGCAGAGGAGAGTCTTAGGCAAAATCCACAGAAACACAGAAGACAACAGAGCGTGATACATAGAGATTCAGGGAAATCCTTCACTGGTGATGCAGGAAGCACAGGGCAATGCGGGAAGCAGGATTCTCAGGCAGCACAGAGATACTCGGGAAACACAGGGGTGCTCTGGAGGCACGGGGGAACACTGGGAGCAGGATTTTCAGGAAGCACAGAGATACTTGGAAAACACAGGGGTGCTCTTGAAGCCAAGGGTACACTGGAAGCAGGATTCTCAGGAAGCATGGAGATACTCAGGAAACACAGGGGTGCTCTGGATGCACAGGGGAACACTGGAAGCAGGATTCTTAGGAAGCATGGAGATACTCAGGATACACAGGGGTGCTCTGGAAGCACGGGGTACACTGGAAGCAGGATTCTCAGGAAGCAGTGAGATACTCAGGATACACAGGGGTGCTCTTGAAGCCGGGTTACACTGGAAGCAGGATTCTCAGGAAGCATAGAGATACTCTGGA